TTTTAATTCATGGTAAAAAAAAAAAAAATAGGTGATGCTATTGGGGCATAGTGACTCTTACACAGGAGACAGGGCAATGCAAGTGACTGTTGCCTTTAACCATTTTGGGGAAGGTCTCACTCAGAGAATGCCAAGGTAAATACATAATTAATAAACTCTAGGGTTCTTACTTAGAATTTTGTGTTAAATTAGGAAAACTTATTGAAGATTATATAAAAATAATAACAACCCCTATATGCAACTTGTGAAACGGTATCGAGTACGAAAAATCCATAGCCTAACCGAATGAAAAGTGTGATCAAACAGTGAAAAAGAAGACTAAAAGTCTGACGAGGTGTAATGTAATATACTTTGAATCGACAGGTGCAGGCATGGGCATTTCCACGTGGTAAACAACGACTACACGTCGTGGGAGATGTATGCCATCGGTGGGAGTGCAAATCCCACCATCAATAGTCAGGGCAATAGATTTTTCGCTTCGAACAATCCTTTTTCTAAAGAGGTCACAAAGAGAGTTGCTGACAATAACGAAACGTGGAAGGATTGGAATTGGAGGTCGGAAGGCGACATGATGCTTAATGGAGCGTATTTCGTGCCCTCGGGCATTGCTGAAGCTAGCAGCTACGCCAGGGCCTCGAGCCTCTCGGCAAAACCATCTTCTTTGGTGGCAACTCTGACTGCTGATGCAGGCGCGCTTCACTGTCGTAAAGGCGTGTTGTGCTGACGAGGGTGTATGAAAATTTATTTTTCATTTTTATTTTTGTGTATCTCTTGGGATTATTTTGATATTAGGGTATAGTTGACAATAGTCATTTTTTTTTTTTTTTTTTGGGTCTTTCCGTAGATTAACCTCGGCTTGCTCCAGTTGGATTGAAGCTTTTGGAGCGGGCTAGAAGTGTTGTTCTTGTTGTTGTTGTTCTGTTATGTCTCATTATATAAATTTGAATCTCCCTTTTGGCTTTCGTGTTTATGTTGTGTTAGTGTTGGTTCAAATATATTGGTTTCAATTGGACCCTGTTTTTGTAGTCTAAATGGGAATGAAAACAATCAAAGATGAAATGTATTAAAATATATCCACCAAAAAGATTTAAAAATTGTTTGTCAATCTATCACAGAACTGTGTATCACAATACTCTGAAGTTTATGTACATCATGTAATCAACAAGAATTGGTGCTTCTTTGTACAAATACAAAATCACAGATATAATCATATATTCATAAGGAAGAAAAAAAAAATGGAATCGTGACAATTGTAATACATGTAAAGCGCAAACCACGACTATAGGCAGCAAGCGCAAGTAAAATCAACCCGTATAAACTACAACAAGAATAGACCAATGGACAACAGGTACTCGAAGGGCAACACATCCTCACAAGTACTCGAGTAGATCTTGTTCCCTTTGTAAATCCCATATGATTACCTTGCCATCGAACCCTTTTGTAAAGGAGTGAAATAAACAAGTCATGAATAATTTTCAAATTAAAGGGTTAAAAATGTTCTAAGTGCGATTATTTTTACCTGAAGTGCTGAAGCTGGTGATTGTAGTATCGCCTGCATCCTTGAGGGCCACGATAGAACTAAATTTTGTAAGCAGAAAAAGAGACAGGCGTTATGAGCTAAAGAATGAGAGGAAAGAAAAGGTGAAAACGGGAAACCAATGCGAAGATGGCAAGGACATACGTAATACATTTGTCATGTCTTCTTGAAGTTTCACTATTCTCATCACTGCTTCCGTTTTTTGATTGACTGGAAAATTTGCCAAATGTTCCAGAACGCTAGAAAAAAAGGTGAAAAGAAAAGGAAGATTATGGTTTGTTATGCCAATCAATAAATTTAACATTTGTGAGATGGTCAGACTGCGAGAGAAAATTCCAAGCTGACTTTGATTATTGGAGTGCATATTCCGAAAAAGGCACCAATACAAGAAAGAATTGGTGTTTTTGTCTTTAAAATACTATGCGCCTTACCTGTGAATCATATTTAGCTCCTGGAGTTGGTTTTGTTTCGTCGAGAAACCTCAAGAAGCTCCTACATGTTACGAAAACAAAAAAACGCACACGCTGTCAGTTGGAACTTTCAACACATGTTTTGGTGTATTCTCCAGTAGGATGATTCGGAAACGTACCCCTGAGATTTATCCTAATTGCGATTTAACACATGCCACATTTAAAAAAATAACAGATAATCACCTACAAGAGTTACAGGTTGGAATTCACTTAACAAATAAAAACTCCTCTTGTTAGGGGTGAATAATAGGAAGTTCTTTAAGAGATAAATGGTGTTTTATTATAACTAAAATTAATCATTCTCCGATTATAGAGCTCTTCATTTTATTTATTTACTTATTAGTTTGGTGAATTTACAGTTTGGCCATTCACAAACTACTGACGACAATTGCAGTGCACTAGCATATTTAGTACATTAGAAAACCTCAACTCACCATAATCCCCTTTCATCTGCTGCAAATACCATTGGATTGCAATCAAATCCCACGCCAATGAGCATTCTTTCAGAAACGAACAGAACCTAAATCATATATTTTCTCAATCATTAATTTTTATTAACACTACCATTTCAAGATAATAGGAAAGAACATAAAATTTTCAAGAGTTGATGCTGACCCACATCGCGAAGAGGCAAATCCCTGAAAGTTACACTCTGGGCAGATGGAGAAGGACCAATGTCATCAACAAAGTATATCATTGAGTTGTGACCTGAGGATTTGTGTTTGTTAATAAACTTCAAATAAAACACAACGGTTTTCACTCACATGTTTCGAAGACTTTTTT